GCCCTACCAGGCCTCCTACACCCTCCTCACCACCGATTTGGATCACTTGTTGTTCCCTTGTCCCTGGGTTTGTTAACACCACTTCCTTTCCCCCCTCCTCCCCCTCTCCCATGTCCCCCCGGGAACTCTCGGTCCCGTTGTTTTTCCCGCCAGATTGTTCATGCAGCCTATGTTATTGAGACAGACCTGCGGAGATAATACCATGCACAAAGACAAGACAGAGCAAAACTATACAACAAAACAACAATAAGAAGAAACAAAACAAAAAAACCCCACAACACAACAACAACAAAAAAGAAATGCTTGTCGTTAGTTTAAGGATTGTTTTTTGGATTTTAGGGGTGTTTTCTGGTCGAGTCTGATGGGGTGCCACGCCCTGGCCCCCAAGTCTATTTTTGGTATTTCCTGGGGACATCGTTGCTCTGTTCCCCTTCCTGTTCTGCTGCAGGCCCTTCGTGTATTGTCTCGGTGCGGTGGGAACCTGCCAATCTTTTCTGTGGCAATCAATGGAAATAAGTTTTTCTCCCCTAAGGAGGAGATGGCAAAACCTGCCACTCTCTTATGTTCTTCAAAATGTCTTATTGGAAGAAACCCTAAGAGTAAGATGTATTTTCTACCTGACACAAGGAATAATAACATCATGCTATATTTGTTAAATAGACAGTTTCCAAGTATCCACCCCCCATTTTCATGATAACTAGTGAGATTCTAAGTTATGTAACATTGTCTGATTTTACAAGGACAACCTTTTATAATTTTCCCGATTAATGTACTATTAAACATCTTCACTTCAAATTTTCAGTGTAACATCTGTAAGTATAATTTAAATGTAGAAAAACGTTATTGAAGAAATGCTTATAAGAAACACGTGTGTTGAGGACCTAATGTCGGGGGTTTAAGTGGAGAGAAAATGTTTTGAAAACGATGTACAAATGCGCATTACACAATTGATGTGTGTATGGATTGTGATAAGAGTTGTATGAGCCCCTAATAAAATGTTTAAAAAAAAACAAA